GTTATCAACTTTCCTCTTTATATACTTACTTCACCTTGATTTATTTATTGCTTAAATAACTCCAGGGACAGTTTATACATTTTATATTTAATAAAATACACAAACTTGATTGACTGTAGGCTGTTGGCTAGGGTGCTCCCTAGGGCATGCCCTACCACATTAGGCTGCTGAGGGGACTTAGGTCTTGCTGAGGGATGCTTCATTTGTAAAACCTAAATGGGTGTAAATTAGGAAGTAAGCATAAAGATGATCAGTTTCACCAGGAAAGAGGTGATCTAATCAGTTTCTCAGGTTCTTGAAGCATTCTGAGACTTCACAGATAATCAAGTCTGCTAACCAGTATTCTATCCCTCACCCACAGTCTTGCAGTTCTGTTTGCTGGTTACAAGCCATTGAATCTGCCGGTGTATATTAAACCAGAAAGAAAAAAAGAACAGCAGTACTTTAGAAATCAATTTTTAACTAAAAATCAGATGGGATTTGGCAAGAGAGTATGAAACAGCAAAACAACTTTAGGACTTGTTTACAAAAAATAACATAATAGTAGCATTTGACATGTCTTTACTTACTTGTACCATTGCTTTATTAACACTCATGTATATACCACTAACATGAAACAATGTTGGATAAATGTCTAATAAACTATAAAACTTACTCTGTGCTCAGAAATATTAAATGTTTAAAGGGAAATAATAAAATTATTTCAGTAGTACAAAGAGTTCTCCATCATATCAGAGGGGCCCTATTATATTAGATACTGCATAAGAGAAATAAAAAAGTAGCCCCTGCACCTCAGAGATCTAAAAACAAGCAAAAAAAATTATTAAATATTTCAGAAATGAATGCCCATCTAACTACTCATTTCCAATACTACGCTACATTTCATTAGTTTAAATTACAGTCAGATTATGCACTGGTGGGCTGTAATTTCTCAACAGCCTGAGTTATTCATCCCTCTAATATAATCTGCAGATCTATGCAGTAAAAAGATTTTAGGTACATAACAGTGAGAAAAATGGAAAAACAGTGCGTGTCAGATAGATGCTTGTGGATTCCAAATAGGTTTATATTAAGAATGTAGTAATTGCTGTTCCTAGTTACGTAAATCAAGAATTAAAAAGCAGAAATATTTCTTCTTCCATTATCAAAAAACATGGTTATTTCCCCATCAAGGAAATGCAGATATAGGAATATTTTTTACAAACACTATTACCAACAAAAATTAGTGAGCAAAGGAAACAAGCTACAACTGAAAAATAGTGACAGGACAGACCAGAAATCAAAAAGGCAAAACTATGTTTCAAGTCAATACAGATCTAAACAAACAAAAACGTATCTTTTTGTCTGGGTCAGGGTTTGATGTTAATGCATGAATGTTTCATTCTGTAGTTGAAAACCAAAAAGTCACCAGTCACTAGCAGAAACCCTGTTACTTATGCTTTATGAATTTTGTGTCTCAAACCCAATCCCTAGTGGACACCTGTACATATTATAAAAGCTATTCACTTGGCACCAGCGAGTTGGCCATCTCCTTACTGACACCAGATAGGAAGACTGAACTTGCCTCCTACCACTGCTAATGGCTGTCCTTCTGAGTCAGGAGTAAGGCACATTGACACAGCAACAGGAAGACTGCACTTCAGCTGACAATGTAGCACCTGTTTCATGATCAAAACACTTTACTCTTCACAACTGTCAAAACCTGGCATTAAATTAATATTTAAAACAGTATAAAGCAAAACATTGTTACAGCAGAACATTTTCTAAAGCAGGAAACAAGAAAACAGCTCGAATGCTTTACAAGAAAGGAAAATCAAGTTAGTAAAGTATAATCCTTCTATAGGCCCAATAGTCTCAAAACTTAAATATATATTTTCAAATCAAATCCCTTTTCACCCTCTTAGACCATAGAGTTAATGGTTCCAAAACAGACTATGAAATAGAGCGGTGATTTTTTAAAATTGTATCACACTATTACAACTAAAATTGTATAAAAGTTAAAATGTGTCCCATTGTGCCAGGCTAGTAGCTTAATGGGCATGTTTTATACTGAACATAAGAGATGCATTGTGGAACAGCGTGAAGTCAACACATCTCAAAACCAGCTTACTCAGTTGTTGCACATGGAAAGCAATAAGAGAAAACTCAGACTGATGGACAGATAGTATGGCTATGAGTCATAGCATTTAATAATGGCTGCCTAAGGCAAAATGAGCTACAATATAAAGCCTGAATACAAGATCCTTCTTCTTGTGTTCAGATTAAGATATAAAACACTATATGCAAAGTAATTTCTGATAAACTGGAAATGAAAAATTTGTACTAGAAGGGATGTTTATAATACCTAAAGTTACTTTTGTATGTACCACTTTCCAGTTTCAAAATTATACTTTTGTTTTCAACATAAAAGAACAAACATACGCTATCACTTTTACCTGTTTTCACTTATACATTAATCAAAAACATTAAGACTTTCTTAGATAGTGACTGTAAAACAAGAATACCTATGAATTTTATCTGTCTGTACTCCATACTTTGCAAAGAAAAACTAAACTTTTTAAATAAAGGCTTGCTGATTACAAATTGATTTTTCCCAGAGTAAGAAATGCAAGACTAGTTCTGCAATCTTAGTACTGATTCATCACTGTTAATTTTGTGTTATGAATTCACCTGAAATCATTAAAATATACTGAAGTTGGGAGAACCACCATACTGTGAGCCATGTCCAAGATCTGTCCAGATTTGCAAGTCCGCTGTTCAAAACAGAATATTCTTAAAAAATGGTTCCTGAGTTTTAATACTACAGTTGAATTTTAACGTCTACAGGTGTCAAAATAATTCAGTAATTTTTATAACTAGAGACTAGTAAAATAAAAAAATGGTTTATCCATAGTTTTATTTCTCTACAAACTCAAGAAAAACAAAACACACAGAACAATTTCACTTTTAAAACCGGAACAGAAGGGTCCTGTCCCCCCACAAAATATATCTGCTTTTAATTATTATATACCTGAATGGGAAAAAGAGGACATTTTAGAGAGCTCATGTATGGAAAATGCAAGCAATTTGTTCCAAAGATTAACTTATTTTTTCCTGCTGAGACACGAAGTACAGAAATCTACACTTAAACTACTACAAAACACTGCACATAAACTTCTGTAGACAGGACGAGATATTGAATAGATTGTGATAGAGTCCAGCCTGAAAAGTGACTCCAGAAACGGAATTCTGAGATGTCGCGCGCGCGCGTGCATGCATGTGTGTACAAAACTAGCTAGACTTGAGTATCCATAATTGTCTAGCCATGTCACAGCAGCACAGAAACCAGCAAATGCTAATTTCTCCCTGTTGAGAACCACAGTGAATACTTGGGTAATTAACACAGCTAAAATTCATGTTCCTGCAGCTAACTACTAGCAGAAAAGCTAGCTGGTTTAAAGCTCGCTTGGGTATTAGGGCTGTCTAACTTTTGAGCAACTGGCGTCACATGCTGCGCTGGCCCATCCACCCCATGCTGCATGCTATGTGGGCTCCCCTGATGCCCAACATGCAGATTCTTGGTCCTGGAGACCTGGGCCCCACAGGCTGCCATCAGAAACATAAAGCAGAAGCTGGAGGAGCAAGATAGAGCCTGGAGATGCCAGGGGCAGCAGCCAAAGTAATGGGCGGAGTGGCATCTGGCTCGTATCCTGTAAGGCTGCAAACTGGACAGCCTTGGACTTCACTTCTTCAGCGTAGACTTCACTGTCTTACCAATATCCACATCAAATGTTTTCAGTTTGCAGCTGAAATTATTATTTTTTTGTTTCTTCAAGAGTTCAAGTGTGAAAAGCAAGTTGAGTTCTTTCTTCCCCGCCATACCCCGACAGATAAAATTATGTCCCTCATGACACCTGTGTAACCCTAATGACTTATAAAGCTGTAGTGGACTAGCCTTCTAATTGGAACTTATAAAAAACACTTTGGTTGATGGGTGATAAAGAGGAACAAAATTCAGGGTTCTCTTAGCTGGATCAGTCTTGTATAAATAAGGCTATGAAAATAAATTTCAGTCACTAATGTACAAAGATATGACTCTAGATACACATTCAAATTTGCTCAGTAAAATGGTGCCATTTTATTGTCACTTTTCAAAGTGGTTACCTGTAATTCAACAACACTTTCAACGAAGGTAAATGTTTGTTCAGATGAAACTGAATTTAAATGTTAAATGCAGTTAACTATTAACTATATTGTTCCTGAAAATAGTCACTTCACTCAAATTTCAGCTAGTTTATGAAGATCAATAACAAAAATGACATGTGACCTGGCTATAAAGAAAAGAATTGAATTCCAATGGAGGTGAAACATGTTGCCATATACAATTCTTAGGGACGGGACAGAAACTGCATTTCTATGCACAAGTCTTAAAACTAAAATTTACCCATTGCAATGGCAGAAACCTAAGAGGAATTCAGTGCCATGATGGGGGCTTTTGGGGAGAAAAAAAAATGAATCACAAATTATAAAAACTACACTACAGAAAACTGAAAATAAGAATGAGAAAGAGCATTTACAAAGATTAAAAAAACTGGGTTTTTTTAGAAAACAGTATTTTAAAAACTTCTCTCAGAGGCAGAAAACCCTATTAAATCACACACAATACAAGAAAATGTGCTGAACTATGGAATTACATGTGTGCTCAGATTAACCAGGAAAACAGCCAGTCTTCTGCTGTGAATTTTCAAAGGCATTTTTTTTTACACAATGATAATTGATTTTTTCTGAATTTTTTAACTGTCACAGAATAAAGCTGTGCAATTTCAGAATATCAATGAAAAACAGGAATGAAAATATGTCATCAACTGAAACATGAACATTTTGGGGAAATGAATTATTGCAAAGAACTTTAAAAAAATAACTTTCAAGTTATTGTAACTAGCATGTATGTTTCAAATCAAAGAAACCTCCTATGAAAAAGCAGATGAGTAATCAACTAAAAAGTATGTATAAACAAAAACTTCCCTCTAAAATACTTAATTTTATTAGTGAAATGGTACCAAAGATAACAAGTATACAAACAAACAATCTCTTTGCTCTACGCTACTTACACGTCATAAATAAGACAGTTGTTGTTGCAAGACACAATCCTTCACAGTCTTTCCATAGCATACAGATTTGTCATTCTTTTATCAGAATAAGCTGTTTACCAGCCAACTGCATGTGGCTTAATCATCACAAAAATGACTGTTTATACTTTACATGGTAAAGCATCTTCTAGTCTTAAAATGCACACAGTGGCAAGAAACTTTAAATCCTAACAAAAACAAAGAGTTGATTAAGCAGCTTCACAATCAAAACTGGGTTTCATTACCTTATAGAGAGGGCAAGTTTTCATTCCCCATACAATGTTGAGGTTTCTATGACTGCATCAAGGAAAATCAAATTGAAAGCAAGGAACTAATATGCTACTCAGTTTTTATATTGATAGAAATAACTCTTCCCATGAGGTAAGGCAATTAAGTCATTTGATTGTATTAAGTTGTATTAAAAATAAGTCTACTTGATTTTAGTATAAGCAAGTTCTAAAGGTATCACTTTAAGAAATCTTACAGTGATGAAATTAGTTCAGAGAGCACAAGTCACATTTTACTTGACAAAATAGTTGCTGTGTGTCATTCTCTTAACTTACATGTTCCCTCCCCAAAGACTGTCCAAAAATGAAAAAGAATTTCTACCATGTAACTCCCATGTGAATTAGACTACTGTTCTTTTCAAGCTACTTTCATTTTCAAAAAAACTTTACATATGATTCCTTTTTGATCACACAACCAGCATTAGAGAAGGTTAATGAGAGGTAATGATTAAGGCCATCCAAATGCAGAAAAAGTGTTTAACAGGCTCCCTCTGATTTAGGTGAAATTAGAGAATGCTTGGCATTCAGCTTTTATCCTATATAGTATTGTGGTCCCCTAACTGAGCTTTTGAGTTCACCTATAAGTCTTTTTTTTAAAAAAGGAGCTTTAATCTTGCATCAAGCAAACCAAATATAACTGTTCTGACAAACTTCTTATATTCTTGTCCACTGGGGTAGTGATGGTAAAATAGCTAAATCAAGATCATGTAAGATTTAAATAAAAAGGAGTAATAGCACAAATACATTTCTAGAAAATAGTATACCACATTTTAAGAAGGCACTAAAGCTTCTGCTTGTGCTCCCATATCCTACTTTGAAAAAAAAAGTTTATTTTCATAATGGCACCTGTACCATTTTCAGCTGAACAGATGGCTTAAAACAAAACTAGAAGTTTTGATATTACCATACAAATGTGCTCACCTTTGGAAGAAACAAAAAAACCCTCCGTATGCTAAATTATTATCTATAACATGGTAGGTAGTGTACCTTCTAGGTACAGAACAGTAGCATGCAATTTTCAATTACAATTAAAAGAAATATTCATTTTAGGGATACAAATAAGAAAAGAAGTCCAAATAAGAAAACTGAAAATCTCAAGCAGTGAGCAAATGAAAACTTACTAGTCAGTGAGTATTTAACAAACTGTAAAACTATTATGTTTAAAAACCTTTCTTTCATAGTTATCGTGTACAACAAGGGAAGGTGTGTATACTTATGCACCATTTCCAAGCACATTATCAAACAGTACATGTTGAAGTTTTGTTTAAAAAACAAAAAAACAAAACAAACCACAAGGTAAACCAATACAAAATTTATCAACCAACAGTATTCCAACAGCCTCCAATGTAGATCTTCAGCTTCTCTGGATAGTACAGGTTTACATCTTTCAATTTTCACTTCCTTTTGTAACAGCTCTTGGCGAAAGTTAACGTAAATCATTTTACAAATAAATACAGCCATCATGGAAATGCATGGTTTCTCATGGATGAATAGTTCTGATGGCCTTACCATGGTACTTACTACTGGTCCATGCTCTTTCCTGCTTTACAGCAAGACAACAAAGCTATCACAAGAGTTGGAAGAGCTACTAGTACTATCAACATGGTCAGTTGATTGCTTTGAAGTTTTCTTCCTCTTTCAGGGAAATAAAAAGCTTTGGATTTCAATCCACAGTTAAACGAGAGGTCCATTCTTAGCACTAAACTTCTTCTATTTTAATAGAGAGATTTTCTTCATTTGGCTGACAGTTCCCATTTTGCTGCAGTTTGACTTCATCTGTCCTTTGTGCATCTTTGTCAACTTCCTTGTCAGTCTCAGAATGCTGATCTTCTTTAGGGCGACCTTTATCCTACCAAGAATACTGAAGTTATATTTTTACAGAAACAATATTCTTTGGCATTGCAGGCCAAGATTTCTAAGGCTGACTTGCAACGCTGGCTGCTTCAGTTTCTAGATGGTCAGCTTAAAACAACACATGAAGACTCAGTTTTAAAAGGTTGAGTAATTTGGCCAAAGTGTCAAAAGAAGCTGAGGCCCCCAAAATTACCAGCTACGTCCGAAAATCCTTACCTTAAAAATATTATACTGTGGTGTATACACTTAAGCAAAAACGAAAAAGCAAAAAGAACAGTGCTTTAAGCATTGTGGAGGCTTCAATAGCATAATTCTAAAGATTTCACTGCATATTCCAATTAAAACAGGATTAAACTCTGTTCAGCCAGTTATTAGTCACTTATCCCAAGTAATTTTTTGTTGAAATTTCTGGTCAGATGAACACCACATTTTTATGACACTTCCTGGATAAAATAGGTATTGCAGTGTGTATAATTAAAATAAATCCATTATAAAATGTAATCGGATAATATCCCATTTAGCTAACCAGACATCATTACAACCAATTTAACTCTTCAAGACTGGCAGTTTTTGAAAAATCAAACTCTGATCAAAACATCTTTTACTCTGTGTGAAGAAAAGCCCCATAACCTAGTCCCAGACCCACTTCCTGAGCCTGTTCCTCCAACCTTGTTCTCAACAGCCCATGACCCTGGACAGCCAGAGACAGAACTGTAGAATCTAAGTGCATGACAGATGCAGAGTTCCCCAGCTGAGCTGCTCTTGTATTTTGCTTGTTGGCTACACAATCTGTCTCCTGGGCAGCCTATTCCTCGCTCTTTTTTCTTCATTCCAGACTCTGCATCTCCCTCACTCACATTCCTGAGGACTCGGTGAGGTTCATATACGAAGACTATCGAGTGTTCTTGAAGCCAACTAAAGCAGTGGTTCTCAGCCTTTTCTGTACCAGGACCCGCCTGGTAAACACTGATAGCCAGTTCCAACCCAGTAAATAGTTTAGGTAGAAAACAGCCCTCTGGCCCTGCTGGTGCCCCTCACACCCAACCCACAGCCTCCCAACCCCCCCAGCATGTGGGGTAGGGAACAGCACGTGCCCCCCACCCCTGATCTGTACACCCACAACAAGCATAGGGCTGCATCCTAGGGAGCCACCACCAGAAGGCAGGACCTGGCGCAGGAGGAAGAATCAGGGCAGCTAGACTCATTGCTGCCACTGCCACCGCCAGGACCCTAGCACCAGCCTCATCATCATGGCCCTGCCACTGCTCCCTTCAGGCCACCCACGCTGTCCGCCACCCCACTTCCCCTCTGGGGTAGAGCCACAGCTGGAGGGGAGTGGCAGCTGCAGCTAGGCCATGGCAGCGGGCTAGAGCTCCAGCCCAGTGAATGGACAGCTGGCAGCAGGAGGAGGTGAGGGCAGCGTGGCCCCTCACATTCATTACTCTTCACACTGCTGGCAGCATGGCTGGTGCAACAAGCCTCACTGCCCTGCTTTGCCCTCCCATGCCCAGTCCTTCCCAGTGGGCTGTGGAGGCAGCTCCTGTCCACACTAGTCCAGCTAGGCTGCAGCTCTGTATTTCCTGCAGGCACACAAATCTGGAGGCAGGGGGGAGGGGGTGAAGGAGGCACATGCCCACCCCCCGGCTGTGCCCCCCAACACATCGTCTATGCCCTCCCCCACTCCCCACCCATAGACAATGGAAGGGAACTGCAAGAGCTCCTCTCCACACTGCCTGGCTGCCATGTGCACATGCATGTAATGTCCCCTGCCTGACCATCCTCCTCCCCCCAGCCACAAGCAGCCCCTTCTAGGCTAGAACTCTGCCAACCTGCAAAGGGAAACCCACGGTTCCCCCCATTTTTCTCCTTTAAAAGAGAAAATTTGTGATTTTGCATGTTTTTCCATGATTGTTCATGACCATTTCATATATTCCTGCAACCCACTTTTGGGTTGCAACCCACAGGTGAAGAAATGCTGAACGATACTGCTGATACTGCTGGGAAGAACTACATTCAAGTATCCAAAAATGACAAATATTGAAGGAAGTCAAATATCTAACTCTACTGCTCCATGTTCCTGTTCTCCACTCAGTCCCAACTACTTACCTTTAGTGTAGTGCTGGTTTTATCAGACCTCTCCCGACTTTCTTTCTCTTTGCTGCTCTTTTTCTTGGATGTAGATCGCTCTCTCTCTTTCCTTTCATTATTTGAATCCCTTTCTTTTTCTCTCTTTTTTTCCTTCTTATTTCTGTTTAAGCAAGATTTTAGACATTTAGTAAAAATAAGTCAATTAAATCCTAAAAGGACAGAAAACTGCAATTCTTAGACATAACCAGGGCCATCCCTTGGGGGGGGGGGGCAATCAGGGCGACTACCCCGGGCCCTGTGCTTTTGGGGGCCTCACAGAGCTGGGTGGAGAAGCCACAGCCCCTCTTGTAGGGCCCGCCTAATGCTGGTGACTCCATGCTGCTGCTGGCTTTACATCTAGCCGCTTGCCGCCACCCCCTGCCCACCACTGGCTTCTTCACGTGTGGGCCCTGCACAGGCTGATTTGCCCTGGGCCCTGCACCCTACTAGGGTCATCTCTGGACATAACTACTATTTTTAGTCCTGAACTGAAACAGAAACATGTTTTAACTGGTAGCTCCTATATAACAATTTCAGCAGTTTCTTGTTCTAAAACAGAGCTGTCTGACTGGTGGCCTGTGGGCTGCATGAAACACAAAGGGATGAATTTGTGGTACCTATATTCCTACCCAACTGGAACTCCCCCCATTGTTCTGGCTGCAGCAGCAGCCAGGGGCTCTGGGCTCCCCATTCCTCCTTTGGCTTCTACTTCCTGCCTCCCCACCCTCCTCCAGGAAGCAGCCTGGGGTGCTCATGCAGCACAGCACAAGAGGGGAGCCCATAGCCAGGGAGTCAGTGGTGAGGCTGGAACGCCAGCATGTGTGATGCACTGTAGAGAGGCCCATGCAGTACACAGTCCAGGCTGCTACTGGCTTGCACTGGTGCGGCCTATGCTGCATGCAGCCCCGCACTGGTACAATTCACAGCACGTGGCCCCCTGCTTCTGAGAAGTTGGACAGCCCTGTTCTAAAGATGTAGACTCCTAATATGCTGTGAGGATGTTCAGGATGTGGAGCTACCTGAAAAGACTAATCTCTTCATGCCAGATAGTAGCATTCTGAACTATTTATGACTACACATTACTTTTTCTAAAGAGGTTAACAAAAAAAATAAAGAAAAGACAGTGTTAAGTTTCCATACGCATCTTATACACCAAAGTGCAAAAATTACTACTAACCACTACATTGTGCAAGTTGCCAACTGACTTGATGTCTATTTGAAGGTAAACAATTGGCAAAATGAATGCTTATATCCATCTTAAGAAATAAGAGAATGAGCAAACAATTTTATTCTCCTTAAAAGGAGAGGAGAGCATTAGGGCCGTGCAAAATTTTGCTACCAGTTTTGTTTCAACGTTGTTTTGAGGTCGAAACAGCAAAATCAAAATGAAACATATAGTTAAAACAGCCTCGAAACAAAACATGTCAAGTTGAAATGTTTCGCCATTTCGATATTTTGTCCATAGGCTATAATGGAGAAGGTTGAAACAGCCTATAACTTTGCCATTTCTGGCCTGGTTTGGATGAAGCTTGCAGGAATGATAGCCCCTTCTAAGGGCATGAAGCCTAACAAGTTTCAAGGAGATAGGTGCAGGGGGTTCGGAGAAACTGCAGCCCAAAGTCTTGAAAGCAAAACTCATGTCACAAGTATGTGTTAAGCCACAGTGAGGTCAAAACTGCAGGCATGCTAGCCCCTGCAGAGGCCACAAAACTTGCCAGGTTTCACGGAGATAGGTGCAGGGGTTTGGGGGAAACTGTACTTCAAGTTACGAACAAGCAAAACTCGTGACATGGGTGACTGTGTGTTAAGGCATAGCAGGGTGAAAACTGCAGGCCTGCTAGTCCCTGCTGTGGCTACGAAGGCTGCCAGATGTCAAGGAGACAGGTGCAGGGCAGTCCTGGGGCCCTGCACCCCTAGCTGCTGACATGCAAAACTTGTGACATGGGTGTTTGTGCAACTGAGTGCATCTGTCTTGGGGCACAGGGGGTGAAAACTGCAGGCCTGCTAGGCCCTGCTGTGGCCACGATGTTTGCTACAAAGGACCAACTCACAGGATCATCATAAAATTCTAGTTTATTAGACGGATGCAAAAGTCAGATCATAAACCTTGGGGCTGATCCCCTCAAACACACAAACATTCACGCACACACACACAGACACACACAGTAGCTAGCTATGAATACTAAGCACCAGTGTCAAGATATACCTATCCCCAAGTGCTGGAGTCTGCCATCGATGGCCAGTTGAGGCTTCTTTCAATACAATGCTGCCTCAGAAGGAGGTTACTGCCTGGTCCCTCTGACTGGACAGGTAGGGTGCTGGTTAGGTCAAAGAGGACACCACTGGGGGCCATTCTTTGTTGCTTTTATCCCTTTCTAGCAGACTTTGGTGACTCCCCAGTTGTTGGGTTTACCCAATCCAGGGGTCATTTACCTCATGGGACATCCCCTTTGACAGTTGCTGGATGGCAGCTGTCAGCCCCAGGGGTCACATCAGCAAGTACGTGCAGTCTCAGGAGTCCGTTGATGAATTTTGATTAATTTGCTTCCATAACGAATAGGGCTCTGGGAGCAGTTGATCAGGGGGTATTCAGTCCCAACAGTTGGTCTCCAGCATTCGTTAGTTCAAACCGGGGCTTCTGTACCTTTAACAGTGAAGTTTAAAGGAGATCCTGGCTCTGTACTGATTCTTTCCTCTCATTAGTCTGTGGTTTCCCTAGGCATTAATCCTTGCTCATTAACTCATTATTGTAGCTAGCTACTGTGTTATGCAATCAATAATGGCTCACTCAGGGACCAGCTCAATATAGGGAGGCGGTGGTTCAATTCACAAGTACCCATGACATGACTTTTGCCTGTCAGCAGCCAGAGGTGCAGGGCCCCAGAACCCAGAACCCCTGCACCTGTCTCCTCGACAGGTGGCAGGCTTTGTGGTCTCAGCAGGGGCTAGCAGGTCTGCAGCTTTCACCCTGCTGTGCCTCAACATACACACTGTCACCCATATCACGAGTTTTGCTTGTCCGCAGCTTGAGGTACAGTTTCCCCCAAACCCCTGCACCTATCTCCTTGAAACTTGCCAGGCTTCATGCCCTCAGAAAGGGCTACCACTCCGGCAAGCTTCATCCAAATCAGGCCAGAAATGACAAAATTATAGGCTGTTTTGAACTTCCCCACTATAACCTATGAGCAAAACATCAAAACATTTTTGCTGTTTCAGCCCTGTTTCAACAGAATGGAACAGCTGTTTCAAAATCGAAACAAAATTTGAAACAGAATGCTGCCTTTTCACACAGCCCTAGAGAGCATGCATCAGCTATTACGCTGTAACAGTTATGGCATGAGCCTAAGGATACAAGTAAGCTACCCTCTGAAACTGAATGAAGCACAGTTAAAGATAGAGCAGTTTTGCTACATTTTTATCACTTCAAAATCATGCAGATAAACTAGTGGTACAGTACCAGCTTGTACCTATATCTTTCGGTATCAATACAATCATTACATCTATCTGTATCCTCAGACTCCAAAATCACTCTCTCTGACTTGATACCATTTTTGCCACTTAAAGTAAGTTTTTAGTTGTTGATTAATAGCTAAAAGACTTTCAGAAAACTATATACATAAATTTTTCTTATCAGCAAGAAACCAACAATTCAGTGCCTTGGAGAATGACTAGCAGATCAGTAATTAGATCTAGAATTCTAAATAGAGTTCTAATTAGATCTAGAATCAACAGGCATTAAGTGACATCCCAGCCTCATCTTTGAGGCCTTCTAGAAGGATGAAAAAAGAAAAATAATCCATTTCTGTAAACATGCAATTTTCTTAGCAAAAGTAGTTGAATATTTCAGCACCAAGCCATCTGCAAAGAAGGGAGCAAAAAAATAAGTCCAAGTGACAAAAGTCCTTGAAATAGCACATGTCTCTGACAAGCATACAAAGACTTAACTGAGAATGTAATCATTTTAACCAAGTGGAATGATCTGCAGTGACTAATAAAGGGTGGATAAACCAGTCAGAAGCATTTAAAGTTTTTCCCCATATCTCTGTATTCTCTATCTTACATTCTAGCTTGATCATTTCCAAGGAAAAAACAATAATGATAGCTAGATGCTTCTTGTATGTGCTAAAAAACTTGTCCAGAAGTCCAAATCTACGCATACTGCTTTGTACAATATTGTTAAAAAGTGGCAATATAACCAAATTTTAGTTCAGAAAAAGGTCATTAGAGATTTTCCTTCCTTTGCTGCAGATTTACATTTTATATTTGAATTAAAAAAAACTCACCTTCTTGGTGAGGGAGACCGGGAAGACTTTCTCTTTGTTGTTTTGGATGTTTTTGGAGATTTGGAAGGACTTCTGCTTTTCCTCTTACGCCTTTCTCTACAAGACCAAGAAATTAAAAAATATACAAAGGACCAGTGTTAAGCATCAAATCTGAAATAAATTGTGCCAGGTCCATTCTACACAATAAATTCAACCATTACATAAAAATAGAAGTTTGTTAAAATCATTCTTTGGCATGACAGCTAGTTAACACTGTCATTATCCTGTTATATAATGACTAATACCAAGTGTACGAATTGCACAAGCAAAAGAGATTTTAGTGTTCTATAATTTTGTCAGAGAGGGAAGCGGTGGATAGAAACTCCTTTTTGACATTTCTACTGTAACATACTTTGTGAGGTACTGAGTGTGCTTTTCAACATCTGCTGATAATAAGAACCTGCTATGTTTAAATTAAGTACTATTATTTAATGTTCATACTATGAGTGACATCTTTGCCCTGTTTCAGGGGTGTAGGTTGTAGCCGTGTTGGTCTAAGGACATAGGCAGACAAGGTTCTTTGGGTAAATCTGATATCTTTTATTAGACTAACTCAAATAGTTGGAAAAATTCTTCTTAGCAAGGTTTTGGGCACAAATACCCTTCGTCAGGCTGAGGAAGCATCTGCAGATGGTCTGTGCTCTTCAGAAGACACTTCCTCAGCCTGATGAAGGGTGTTTGTGCCCAAAAGCTGCTAAGAAGAATTTTTCCAACTATCAGAGTTGGTCTAATAAAAGATATTGGACTCACCCAAAGAACCTTGTCCATCTTTGCCCTGTAGAATTCAGTAGGGCCAAGATTTTACCCAAAGGCCACTGCTTCCTGCCCTTAAGAGATAATTCAGTTTTGCTAGTTTTCTTCTATATTCTCAATCGAGACAGAAGGTCTTGGACCGAGTTTTTCTGAGTTATGCTAATGCCATCAAAAATTATCAGTCTGGACGCTCAGTCCCTCTGACCTCTTTGAGTGAAAGGAGAAAACAAGAAAGCAAACACCTTACTTCTCCGCTATGCCAACTTCAGTACAATGTAGAAAAAACTATTTATACGTCTATCATGTACAATCTTAAAATTACACAAAAGGCCTCACTGAAGCCAGCTACCTCAAGCTGTACTGTGCCACTTCTCAGTTCAAAAGGAAGGCCGCTGCAGCACCAAGATGAATATAAAAATATGATTAAACAGCAAAATGGTGCAAATTCGCACTAATTCTGCTCAACTACAATGTAATAACTTTACGTAGAACAAAATATGCAACTAATAATCAGTGCTAAAAATAAAACAGAGAGTAGCTACACTGAAACAAGTGGAACTCTAACAAGAGGTTCAACTAGCTGGAACAAATTAAGAACACTACATAACAGGGCCCAAATGTTTTTTTTCCAGAGTTTTTGGAGGAGTCCAACATATACAAAAGATACATCCCCAAAGGCAAGGCTCAAATAAAAATGGATTATTGTGCTCAAAGAGAAACTACAGAGTTATTTAAAGGACCATTATTAGGCATCAAATCTAAAGTAAATTGTGCCAGTTCTGTTCTGTAGTACTATCTTCCAACACATTATAACCCCAAACTGCATGTAAAAGTTCTTAATTCCAAAATGTCATAACAGAAACAGATGGAAGAATGGAGATTTAAGGTTCTTCCCCCAACAATCAATTTCCAACAATAGGGTCAAAGAAAATGTAATTCGTTTCCTTGTGTTAATATTCAACAGTGAAGTATCGGCATGTGGCATTAAAGTTTTAAACAGGTTACACTTTATTTAACTGTCAAGACAGGTTAAAGCAGTGACAAAAAAATGCCTTAAAATATCAAACCTGCTGGAACTGCGAGATCTTCTTGATGAACTATAACTTCTGGGGGGTGTTCGGGATCTCTTATCTTTCTTCTTTTTATCATCTCTCTCTTTGGATCTCTCTTTTTCTCTCTCACGGTCCTTCTCCTTGTCCTTTTCTTTGTCCCCATCCTTGTCTCTCTCTTTTTCTTTGTCCTTCTCCTTGTTCCCTCCTTTTTCCTTGTCTTTGTCCCCCTCCTTGTCCTTCACTTTTTCTCTATCCTTATCCCCCTCTTTCTCCTTATCCCCCTCTTTCTCCAGTTTTGCTTCCTTCTCTTTGTCTTGATCTACCTCCTTGTCCTTCTCTCTGTCCCTATCTTTCTCCTTGTCCTTCTCCTTGTCCCTGTCCTTCTCCTTGTCCTTAACTCTTTCCCGGTCCTTGTTTCTCTCTTTGTCTCTGCCCCTATCTTTGTCCTTGTCTCTGTCCCTGTCCTTGTCCCTACTTCGCTCTTTGTCTCTCTCTCTCTCCCTTTCTTTCTCTCTGTCTCTCTCCTTCTCTTTGTCCCTGTCTCTCTCTTTGTCCTTTTCTTTGACCTTTTCTTTTTCCTTGACCTTCTCTTTATCTTTCTTCTTGTCCCTGTGAAAAGCCAAATATTCATTCATTAAGTCACTACTAAAATGATCCTAATAAAGACTGAATTCACGCTCTTGCCATACTAGTAAATGTTTGGCCAAACATATACTTCTATTTCACAAGTAACTAAAACAGAAATTTCTGATCCCTCTCATTCCTGTCTACTGTATTTACTCAAATCCAAGATGACACTGAATTTAACCCCCACCCCTCATGCCTGTACTCCCTGGCACCTGCCCTCCGTCCCACCAGTGCCTACCAACACCCCCCCTTCCTCAACTCCACAGCAGCAGTGGTGGTGGCAGCTCTGGCCTGGGCTCCAGCCAGAGCTGCTGCTGCTGCTGCAAGAACTGTTACTGAGCCAGAGCAAGCACATGCATTGTGCCCCAGGCCAGACAGGGTGAGAGCTGGGGCCAGAGCAAGTGTAAGCAAGGAGGCAGGAGAAGGAAGGACAGGGGGAGCAGAAATTGTGGAAGGGTGCAACCAGGGAGAGGAAGTGGCAGAGGCACAAACAACAGTTGCAGATGGTGTTGGGGCTGGAGCCAGAAACTGACTGTCCCCTCTACCACCTTGTACTCAAATCCAAGACTCCCCACCCCCCGACATGTTAAATAGGGAGGAGCCTCCTTGTCTTGGATTTGAGTAAATATGGTGGTTTTCCACCCAAGACAAATGCTAAGAAACTAATAGAAAAAGATATGGATATAGTTTTTACATTAACCACATTATACCAGGATAGTTGAATTATGTGCATTATATCAAATTTAAGGGCATCTAGAGTAGGTTAAGTGGCATCTTCCTGCACTTTGTGAGAAGCTAGACAAATTTTCCCTGCCTTGTAAGTGTATTCTCTCATAAGAGCAAATATGCTCATCTAAAATGGCATATGGGATACTCCGTCCCAGAGGCACTGATGAAGACAGCTGACTGGATAAAAGTTTCTACCCTAAACTGTTGCATATCACACACACACACACGCCCCCCATTATATACGTCCTGGAGTTGAGCACAAATGTAGGAAATAACTCTGGGGGTGTTGGTTGTAGCCACGTTGGTCTAAGGACACAGGCAGACAAAGTTATTTGGGTAAATGTGATATCTTTTACGAGTCCAACTAAGTAGTTGGAAAAACTGTTCTTTGCAAACTTTCGGGCACAAACAACCTTCTTCAGGCACAGGGAGAGTCCGCTGGTACTTGTGTACTCTCTTGGGTGGAACAGAAGCTTAAAGTCAAGATGCAAAATGTAGGTCTGTGAAAATACAAACAGACCTGCATTCTGTATATTGGCTTTAAGCTTTTGTTCCACCCAAGAGAGTACACAAACACTAGCTGACTCTCCCTGTGCCTGAAGAAGGGTGTTTGTGCCCGAAAGCTTGTAAAGAACAATTTTTCCAACTACTTAGCTGGTCTAATAAAAGATACCACATTTACCCAAAGACCTTGTCTGGAAATAACTTCCAGTTTTTAAAATCCTAAGGTGAAAACTGCCTCATTCTCATTTAGACAGAGGCAAGCCATATGTCAAGAGTAGATACTGAATTGGCTTACCATCCAAAATTTAGAAAGGATAAAGAAAAAGAGGAGCTAAAGACCAAAGAGGAACGGCAGACTATAAAAGTAATCAACTTCCATAGGATAAGAACTAAGGCATAAGGAAGAAGCATCTACTGGCCCCTAAGGCTGCTTTATGAGTTGAGACAAACAACTTTCAGCTTCCATTTGGCAACATGAACTTGACTAAAGGATAAGATTTTCCCACCACCTTGGTGAACCTGCAAACATAACAGTTCCCAGGCAGTTCCTCATTCTGAGCAGATGCACAGTGACTCTGATACTAGCCATTTGGACAAGTAAGGTACTGAGGTTAAATCTGTAAATCTATTAAAAATGACAAATTTTGACAGATTAACAGGATCTAACACACCAACTGATATGCTGATTTTAAAGACATGCTGAAACAGCAGGAAGCCTTATCAACTGAAGGAATACATCTAATGTTTGCTCAAAGTATCTCAAGTCCCATAGATTCATCCACCTCTAACAGTTAGATATTATCCCAATTTCAGCAAAAAAAAGATTGCTGGATTCTGTCAAGATAATTCCCTTTGTCATTGACTGGTAGCATGATTCTCCCTTAGAAGTAATCCATCAGTCCGGGGTGGAACACTGAATGTACACAACTACAGCTGTTCCAGGGTGCAGTTTTCTGGATAAGTGTTTTGGCATCCAAAAGCTCTCTATAGTGTTTTGTTTCCTTGGATATGTTCACACAAACAAATTATGTATGTATAAAGAAGGGGTGAGGAGTTACTTTGTTTCATGAGTCCACTTCTACTTTGCAATAAGTAGAGGCTAAACCAGAGCAGATTATCACTTAATTCAGTATAATTTGTTTGTCTCGCTGTACCATAGGCGGCAGAAGCAGCTACCTGTACTTCTCATTTGAGAGCTTCAGACTTCCTTTTCCCCACTGAAATTAGTCAACCAGGACTAAAAACAAGTGACTAGATTTGGTTAGTAATAAGTAAATATTTCATTGAGCAAAGATGCATCATTTTAAAAGGAGGCAAAATGGCCAATCTGGAAGAACTAGAAACTCATATGCATGAAAACAAAAATGATGGATGCCTGTTTTATAAACGTCTTCTGTGTTTGGTCTCATATTCTGAGACAATACAACTTTGGAATGAACACAGCTCATACACAACTATACCAGGACTGCACTATTTATATAGAATAAAAATTTTCAAATTGGCTGACTAAAGTTTGGTACTTATATTAAAATTATTTTATTTACAATTATGTTCAACACTGTAGCACCATCTGACTTCAGTGGAAGTTGAAGAAACTCACTATGTAAATTTAAGCACCCCAGGTATGAAAAAAAACCTGGCAACTTTATTTTTTATAGATTTTATATTGGGAAAATACAGTTACTCCAAGGACCTGCATATCATCCAATTTGTACATGCCTACAAGTGATCTCATTAACTTAAAAGGACATGCAAATTCTGAAAATCCAAAGTGAACGGAATGAAGAATTTTAGCAATTTCATTTTCACCTTAGTCTAAATTTTGTAAGACTACTTAGGTTTTAGTATGTAGCTCTTGCAAAAGCACTAAGAAAAAAGTCTCACCGAGAATGAGAACGACTTTTTGATTTCCGCCTTTCCTTAGAACTGGAACGCTTTTTGGGAGGACTTCTAGAACGGCGTCTATCCTTGTGTCTAGAGAGTGATCTATTGCGAGATCTGCTCCTATATAAAACAATACAAGAAGTATATCTATATATCTATATAGATATATATAACTATATCATTTAATTTTCATACTTCAGAAAAGCATTTTAACTAAGAAAAATATATAAATTATGTCTTGGGAAAGAAAATGATGCATCAACTGATTTTACACCAACTTAATACCCCATTCTTTATATCTCTCCATATATGAAATCAGGGTCACCCATCTCTCAAAATAAGACATAATTTTTTTAAAAGTGTTATTAAAATGTCATACACATTCAATTAACACAAACAAAAATACTGGAAAAATAAAAGTTTGGAATCCAATAATCTCTTTGAATATGGTAGGAAATAGCAGTGAATCAACTTAGGCAGCATATAGGGAAGGGTAGTATGTTAGAACCAACATAGCTAACTACATCTCTGCATCAACTTAATATCATAATATCCTTGAAGTTATTAATACAAGAATTAATAGTAGTTTGCATAAGAAATTATTACAAGTTTGTAAAAGTGGCCATTGAAATTACAGTTTTCCTCTCCTTCCAGAGACTGTTCATCTGGAATCCTGGTAACTAAATAAATTTGCCTTTAATTATTTCATCTAGCTCAGTTTTCCAGCCTTAGTATGATTTGAACTTTAAAAAAATTCTACTACTTCTCAAAAAAAAAAATTCCCCTCACCCTGTAAAATATGTGACACATCCAAAGAGATAAAGGTGCAACATAAGCAGTTCTATTATTTCTTATTTTGGAAGATTTATTTAAAGTATTTGTGGCCTTCCACCTCAGTGAAACATGGTGTTTCAAACCCATGTTGATAAATGGGAATGCTGAGATTTTATATAACAAAAACATTCCATTCATTGAGATTACATCACAGAAATAAAACATAAAAACAGAACTGTTCCAATGTACAAATATTTCACTAGAAACCATGTTAAAAAGGATTCTGAATTAACATATCTGGCATATACTCAAACATAAAAGAAAAATGACAGGCTGCGAAGTTCAATATCCCCTTTTCAATACCTTACAGAAAGCACTGGTTTTCCAAACATATTTCTCCTAAGTCTGGAAAGAACGTATTCCCCATAGAAGACTTTATAAATGCTAAGTTTGATGTTTTAGGACAAATTCTTAGGTGTTCTCCCACAATGGTACTCCCACAGGCTGGAGTACCAGTAAGAAACTTACCAGGCTGAAGGCAGGAAGCTTACTCATACGTATTACTGGCTAAATCCCAAGGAATAGGACAATACACAAAATGCAATTCTCCACCTGCATTCTGCAGCTCAAGACGCATGGACAGAAAAGGGTGTGCCGGGGAAAGGAGAAGCCATATTTTTCCCTAGAAGCACACACCACATAATAATGTGGAAATAGTCTGCCAAATATAGGCCAAACCAATTACAGCTCAGTTAGACTAAGATGAGACAGATATGATTGATGGATTTGAGGTGAAGGCCTCTGGGAGATGATAAACTACTAATAAGTAGGGAATGGCTGAGCATGACTTCTTCTGGAGGATGTGGTTGCCTCCCTGACATGATCAAAACGGTCTTTTAGAATGATAAGCATTTAAAACTGACTGCGATTAGGAGTGTGCAAAGTGGGCTGCATTTGATTTGGATTTGGCCTGATTCAGGAGACAGTAATCCGATTCATTGACTGGGATCACTGTCCTGATTTGATTTGGCCAAATCTGAATATGAAGATTGGATCCCGATTCAGAGAATCAGCGATTCAGCCACAGATGCAGCTTTAAATGTTTTTTTCTATATACCTCGAGGTACTAGGTGTGGCTCGTGAACGCCGAGATGGTGGGGCGGATGGAGCGTCCCACAAGAAGCACAGGGGGGCCCCCCCCAAGTGCATGGCAGTGTACCCAGAAGCACTTCCACCTTCCCAGTGATACCCTCCTAGCCACCATGGATGTCACTAGGTTATACACCAAGATCCCACACCAGAATGGCGTCCAAGCCTGCCTCACATATCTACAGGAACGAGAGTACAACTCAGAATACAGACCTCAGGATATCACTGAACTCATATACTTCATCCTCACACACACAACAACTTCAGTTTCAACAACCAGCATTTCCTCCAGACCATGGGCACAGCTATGGGCACCAAAATGGCCCCACAATATGCCAACCTTCTTATGGCCCACCTAGAAGTAGACTTCCTCAAGAACTGCACCATTAAACCCTAGCTATATCTAAGATACATAGATGACATCATCATTTGGACCAAAATCTTGCAGTCTCTGATTTCCACCAAAAATACAACAATCATCACTCCTCCATCAGACTATCACTTCAATACTCTAACGCCAGCATTTTCTTTTTGGACACCATGAACAATATCCAAGATGGTAAAATTCAAACCACCATATATAAAAAAAACCATGAACCAACATATTTCTCTACACAGAACCAGAAATCACCCTAAGCACACCAAGAAACCTGTACAGATGTCCAGCCAAGCTCTCCAATACCACCAAACTTGCACCGAGGAGAATACCTGTGATGGCCACCTCACAAATGTCAAAAGGGCCTTCAACCAACAAGGATACTCCTCCAGAGAAAGATCACACTTTTGAAAGAGCCACCTGGACACCATGTGAAGATCTGCAGCAATACAAAAAGAAAAACCCCACAAATCACACACCATTAGTTATGACATACCACCCTTCTCTGGAACCTACATGGAAAATTCTCACACAAATGCAACCCATACTAAAAAAAGATCTCTTTCTTAAAAAGAGATCTTTCCAGAACCACCCATCCTAGCCTTTAAATAGGCACCAAACCTTGCTAACCTCATTACCAGAAGCAAACTCCCTATGAGCCAAACCACACCCAATGAATCCAGACCATGCCAGGACAAGACATGCAAAACCTGCCAACACTTCACCACCCCAATAGCTACACCACATTACAGAACCACCACCATTCCTGCATCTTACACCTGCACCTCCAGAAATGTT